AAAAAAAAAAAAAAAAAAAAAAAAAAAAAAAGACTAAGCTAGACTTAGATCCTAGAAGTTGGCCTATTCTCTCCTCTCCTCCTGCCTTTGAACATTATTTCCTCTATCCAAATGGTCCTTCCTTTCATGAAAGCTCTGTTCCCTGGCCGAGCACATTTAAACACACAGTTCTTCTACACCCCTACAGTTGGCACATGCAACTCTAATATTCTTAGGTTTGTACTAGAACGGATTCCCCGCCTGCCACACCCCGCACACAGCAGTCCCCGGAAGGGAGAAACTCTTTTTTAGTTGTTCTGGCATTTAGTAGGGTATTTGGCTGACAAGAAAGATTTACAAGTCTATGCATAAATGAATATTGGCCACAGAGGTACGTATTTTTCATTCACACAGAGGAATAGGGATGTCAGTGGCTGCTTATTGAATACTTAGCATGTGTCAATCCACTGTGTTGGATGTGCTACGTCTCCAGCTCTCATAACAGCTCAGGGGTGCGCAAGATATTATTCCTGTTATTTCTACTTTGCTCCTGAGAGAACTGAAGCTCAGAGAGGTTAGTCAAACGGGCCACACATTCTCAGAGAGCAGAACCAGCTGTGGACCTCATTCTGCCGCCTCCTGTGCCTGTGAGCTCCCCAGTTCACCCAGCTGTCTTTTGATTATTGTTACGATGCTGAATGACACGAGTTAGATTCTGATTTCATCTTTTCCATTTCTTTCCAGCTCCAAGTACAGCCCAGTATGGAATTACCGGGAGCGCTGATGTTCTTTTCTCCTGCTGGTACCTTGTGTTGACACTGTCCTCTTTCACCAGCATATTCTACCTGAAGAATACCATTCTACAATAAATTTAAAGACCCGTAAAAGGCTTTTAAGGATTCTCTGAAAGTGCTGATGGCTGGATCCAATCTGGTACAGTTTGTTAAAAGCAGCGTGGGATATAATCAGCAGTGCTTACGTGGGGTTGATCGCCTTCTGTAGAATTGCTCATTATGTAAATACTTTAATTCTACTCTTTTTTTGATTAGCTACATTACCTTGTGAAGCAGTACACATTGTCCTTTTTTTTAAGATGTGAAAGCTCTGAAATTACTTTTAGAGGATATTAATTGTGATTTCATGTTTGTAATCTACAACTTTTCAAAAGCATTCAGTCATGGTCTGCTAGGTTGCAGGCTGTAGTTTACAAAAACGAATATTGCAGTGAATATGTGATTCTTTAAGGCTGCAATACAAGCATTTTGTTCCCTGTTTTAATAAGAGTCAATCCACATTCACAAAGATGCATTTCTTTCTTTTTTGATAAAAAGCAAATAATATTGCCTTCAGATCATTTCTTCAAGATATAACATATCTAGATTTTTCTGCTCGCATGATATTCAGGTTTCAGGAATGAGCCTTGTAATATAACTGGCTGTGCAGCTTCTCTTTCCTGTCAGTTCAGCATGGGTGTGCCTTCATAAAATAATATTTTTCTCTTTCTCTCCAACTCATACAAAACATTTTGCTAAATCTTACAATTTGGAAGCAAAACTAAATGGTAACGATAGAGTTAAACACAACCCTATCTCTAAAAAGCTACTGAACTATTCCTTTGTTAACTGGTGGGGTTAGAGAATTTTGCCCCAGAATAACTCAATTTTTGTGATGAAAAGTAATTAACAACATAGTAAAGTAAATGAACCACATGAGGTGTTTTTTAGTTAACACAAAATGTTGCATCCATAGTGGGAAATAATTCCCATTAAAAATGACAGCACAGCTTTCTCAAGGGATTGCCTTGCAAGACAGCATCTTTCTTTCACTGTTCCAAGCCAACATCTTAAGAGTGTTTGTCAGAAAGGACAGAAAGTCCTATCACCTAATATTATATGACTTGCTACGTGCTCACAATTAATTTGGATAGCAAAGAAGAAAGTAAGACAGAGGTAGAGGTCCTACAGACAGGAGCATTTTGCATATTTTCTGTCTGAAAACATCACTGAGTTGACAGTCCAGATGCATGCTACAAGGAGTTCCAAAATATAACAAATATTCTACATTCCTATTCATCAGTTCGATCCCTGCAGTAACTAATTCTTCCATAAAAACTTTTCTCAATAGCTCATACAAATGAAGCCCCCAAAATTACCATGCTTTATATTTTCTTACATGATACCATACATATAAAACATGATCAAACAAAGATACCAGGGATGACACCATCTTAAGATCTATTAATTGTTAAACCATTGTGAGTATTCAAATTTTTTTCTACTTTAAAGAATGATGACCACATTTTTGAAGGAAAATGCTGTTAGTCTAACTATTATATTACAGGAATAGGCTGATGGTTTCGCTCTTTCCCAAAGAAAGACCACAGCCTTGAAAGCCATTTTACAGGTTGGATGAAGTTTCCAATTTTAGCACACCTATATTTCTACAAACAATCACCTTTTGTAAGTCATACCAACGATAAAGATTCTACTAACGAAGTTAGATGTGAAACATTTTACAGAGGTTATACATGTTCAAGATACCTATACTTTGCCCTAGAAGGAATGACTTAAAAATTGTGATTTTTTAAAATTCAAATAAAATATAAACACAACATACACCATAAATCTGTTTTAATTAGAAAAATAAATCATAAGTGAGGGAACATAAACACACAGTCTTCCCACAAAATGGCAATAATATAACATAATGCTATCACATTTGCTAGCTGTAATAAATTTAGGACACTTTGATGGATGGATTAAAGTGGGTTCTTAATATGGCATGGAAATTTATTATGTATTTGTCATTCAAAAATATCTTCTTTGTGGAATTGGTGAGTAAACTACAAAATATTTTCTTTGTATTGCAGCTTTAAAGTGGCACACTCCGTAATAATCTACTTACTAGAAATAGTGGTGCTACCACAAAAGTGTTAACCATCTGTACCACCGTTTGGGAGAAAGAAACAGATCAAGAATGCATATTATACAGTGACTGTTTTCCTAGAGTTAAAAATACCTCCTCTTTGTATGGTTTGTAGGGTACATGTGAGGTAAATTGAGGTATAAACTATGGATGAACCAAATAATTAGTTCAAAGTGTTGTCATGATTCCGAATTTGTGGAGTCCGGTGTTTTTCCCATAGGATGTGAGAAGTACAGTCATAGCTCGGTAGCTATACGTATTTGCCTTTATGTTAGAAGAGACTTTCTTGAGTGACATTTTTAAATAGAGGAGGTATTCACTATGTTTTTCTGTATCACAGCAGCATTCCTAGTCTTTAGGCCCCTGGACAGAGTGAAATCATGAGTATTTATGAGTTCAATATTGTTCAAATAAGACTACAGTATTTGCTTTTCGTGTGAATGTATTGCATATAATGTTCAAGTAGATGATTTTACATGTATGGACATATGAAATGTCTAATTACTCCATTTTATCAGTCCTGACTGTACAAGATTGTTGCAATTTCAGAAGAGCAGTTTTATAACATTGATTTACCCTTCACTCTATGGCCATTTTTTAGCTATTCATTTCAGCACTATCTTTTCCACAAGTTCCATTTGTGGGATTCCTTTTGTTGCCCCTAAATCTTTTTTTCAAAGAAAGAGAAATGGAAAATAAAAAGCAGTTGTGAGAGCAGAGAGAAAATATAAAGACAGAAAAGGAGGCAAAAAGAGAGAAAACCAAAAAAAGGAAGAAAAGAAGGAAGGAGGTAAGATAGAAATAAGGAAGGATGAGAGGGAGGGAAGAAGCAGATATTTGGGTAGTTCCCTTATTCATTTGCATTCTCAGTTTAAATGCAGGTGGTGTAATTATGATTTACAATGATCTCATCCCAGGCATAAGTCCTGTTACACCATTAAGTTCCTATTACGCAGCAATTATATAATGAAAAGTACTGCCCAAGTTATAATATCATGCGTTTTTTGAGACATTAAGATTTGAGAGAGAGAATTTCAAACATAAAGCCACTTGGGGGGGGTTTATACCTTAGCTGAAAAATTAATGCTTCATCATAACATTTAAGCTATATCTAGAAAGTAGACTGGAGAACTAAGAAAATTACCCGGATAATTCAGGACACAAAATATATATAGTTAAGTACCCCTGTGTGTGGAAGCCAGAAAACTCTGAGAAACTGAATTATCAAAGCCAATCATCTATATTGATCAGATTACTGAATAATTGTTAATTTATCCATTGTGCTTAGCTTTGTGACACAGCCAAAAGTTACCTATTTAATCTTTTCAATAAAAAATTGTTTTTTGAAATCCAGAAATGATTTAAAAGAGGTCAGGTTTTTAACTATTTATTGAAGTATGTGGATGTACAGTATTTCAATAGATATGAATATGAATAAATGGTATGCCTTAAGATCCTTTGAATATGTATTTACTTTAAAGGCTGGAAAAAGCTTTTCCTGTCTTTTAGTAAAACATCCATATTTCATAATCTGATGTAAAATATGTTGTACTGTTTCCAATAGGTGAATATAAAGTCAGTTTATCAATTAAAATATGTATTTGACTCATTTTAAAAATCTATTGATATAAGAAAAATAGGAGGAAAAATCATCTAAACATACTCCTGCTCTTCCCTCTTGCACTCCGCTCTGTTCACTGTATCCACAGTACTCCAAAGCAAGACGGGGAGCAAATTTTTGATGCTCTAGTTTCAAAGAGTTCCACACTTTTGTCTTTCTCTCTGTTGCTGATTCCCAAAAGGTTTGAAACTCTGCATTACACCTAGCCAGAAAGAGCTGTCATGGAGATACCTGATTATCAATTATTTAAAATTTTCATTGCTGAAATGCAGCAGAGTTAACAAAGAAAACTGGCAACAGAGTCCCGATGATCTGAGACGCTGATCAACTAAAAACTCTGATGCCTGCAGAAGCCAGGCAGAGCATACTTTCTTAAGAGAACTAGGTGTAAAGTAAGGAGGAAAGTGAGATTCCCACATGGTGTTCAGATGCAGTTCCTTTAAAAATGCATTACTTTCCAAATAAAACACTTAACTGTGCCGAGAGCTCTTAGTTTGTGAGCACTGCAATATACACACGGGAGTTGGTTCCAAATGAATGATTTAAGTCCTTTTTTCCAAATCTTTCCATTGAAAACAGACAATCAAATAAATATGAACAATGTGGTGGATCAAGCAAAACCAACATGAAAAAGAGCACGATTGGTTCAATGAGTTATCTGAAATATGAGTGTTATTGCTATTCTGGGAAAACCACATACCCCAAAACTCCCTCCTACAAAAAGTGAAAACACACAAACACATCTGAATTTCCCACTACCTCGTTATTTCTGCTTTTATGTCATGAACACAATGGTAACAGGGTGTCAGGTACCAGACCCGGAAAGCCAGATCACACAGCAGAGTGAGTTTCTCTCGGAACATAACAGGTCAAAACATAAACACTTAGAAAACACACCCAGGAATTCAGAAAATAATTACTTAATTCAACTTGGCAAGAGAAAATGTAGGAATATAAGAGAAGATTTTCCAAGAAAAATACATTCCAAATAGAAGAGTTTGATCCAAGTCCCAGAGACTCAGTGGGCTTCCTTTTACATTCACCTGTACTTTCGTGGAATAACTTCAAACACACAGAAAATATTTAGGAATTTATATCTCTGGTAGAAAGAGGAAAACCTGGCAAGCTAATCAAATAAATGCTTCCCAGTCTTCCTGGAAAGGAAAAAGAAAGAGGGACAGTTTCACTCTGTTCCTCCAAGCATCACCCAGTCTTTCTAAGGCCAGACCAAATTCTCCCTGGCCTTCCATCCCACAGAGGTATCTATGTCCAGGAAGAGCGGGGCACCTGGCATCACCCTCGAAGGCTCCAACTTTTCCACCTTGTATTCTATAGTGGCAAATCACTTGGCAGACACTGTCATTTCAGCTTTCACAACACCTTAAAGTTGAAAATACTACGACTGTCACATATTCATAATGAAAATCCGATTCAATAATTTTAACTCACTTCCAGGAGACACTTCTACCTGGTGGAGAACTGGAGCCAAGTGTGAAATGCGAAAATCCTTTCCATTTCTTCCAATTCTTATTACTCTGCTTAGGAATAGGAAAAGGTTGTTGTCAGAGTTACCTCACAAATGTCCATATGTATACAGAGCTACTTACATGTAAACAGTTTTGCATCATCTATCTATCCATCTATATCTGTCATCTCTCTCCTTCCTTTTATTTTCCAGTGCCTCCAGAGAGTCTGAGCTTTAAAGGTAAATCTCACTGAAATATTCAGAATGTGGGATGTGCAGTGTGATTAGCTTCAGACACAGCCTGTGGTTATATCTGACCCATCATACCAAATGAAGTATTTTGCCATAAACACATAACTTCTTTATATGCAGCATTTTGCAAAAGACCTGCCAAATACTGGATAATCTGTTAGGACTGTGCCTCAGACACCTGTGAACAACAGAATTCTTGGAGAACTAGTGACAGAATACACATTCTTGCACGCTTCTGTTTGAAATTGCCAATAAAATACTGGCTTTAACCTTGAAAGGGTAACCTTTTCAAAGAAAGCTTAACCTTGAAAGAGAGAAACTGTGTAAGAGCCAATTCATATCAAAATACTAATTATGTGCACATCTTTTTGTTCTGGAGCAGTCAACAAGAGAATCTCCAATTCTCACTGTAGAAACTAAATTATATGCAAC